ACACCTGTAGTCTGCTCCCTTTGTCCAGGTCACGACCCCGTGACAATATAAACTGTCAATCACATTGAATTTCACTTAACTATACAGTTCATCTTAACTCGACGTGGCGGCTATATCGTATGAGTACATAAGCGTATTTCATGTTTATAAAATTGGATAGCCATCAGTACATCCGCAGTTGACGTTTCACGAACATTACGGTCTATTTGAAAAGCAGTTGAGATACCTGACGTGGCTTTGTAGTAGCACACTCTATTGCCGCGCAGAATGCTGGGGTTCGATTTCTGCTTGTACCTTGACATTTTTTCTTGACATTCGTCGGGTCAACGCAGCCGATGTCAGTTTTTCTTAACACTCACTCGCTCAAATTACCCATGCCTGCTTTCGCCATTCCTCGGTAGATGTGAAGTGTAAACCACCTGTGGCCCATACCCGCATATCAGTGGCACATACCTGCCCCTTGGTATGTGCCACTGTCGGGAGGAAATTGTTTGACCACGTACTCGACGGGATTGGGATTGTGACATTATTCATGAGATTACCAGCGAGACGTATTGATCAACCCTCCGTATCTTCATTAATAATTTTGGTTCAACCCAAGTTAAAGAGGTGATCACGAGAACACCCAAACGGAGGCGGCTAAATCGATAGATGCGTAGGTATATACGTACAGAGCGCCAAAAGTGCTTGCAGTACGCAAAAAAATGCTTCAAATTCAAAAGGCTTTGAAAGGCCGTTCTTCCAGCTTTCGCTGTGACAGTGCTGCGTATTGCGCAAATGCATGGCGTTTTTTTTTAATATCTACTTCTCATTTATTACAACGGTACCAGTAAATTATAAGTCACCGGTGTTGTCGTAGCCTGTTCATGATGGAACTTTTTAATATATCAGCCTTATAAGCAGCCACTCAATCAGTCGATCAGTAAAAGAGCCGAGCAACAACCAAATTAAATGCCTGAATAATGGCTCACGTGTAAAGTAACCACCAATATTAGGCATATAAATATGAGGTTTCACAGAACAAAACAAACAATCCTATTGTAGTGAAACTTTGGCGGTTGTTTAAGCTAGGCCCCTCTGAAGACCATCGAGACGAAAAAGTGTGCGGGCAATTTGCACAGGCAAGCGATCACAAGTCGACACGGTGATTTCAGGGAGCACTCATTGCGGGTTTATTAATCTAATACAACCTAAATTTACACAATGCACTAAGGTACAAATACAAAACAGGAAAAATGATGGCATACCCCTCGGCTTGCATGACTGGTCTCCGGTGGTGAGATGCGCTGTTGACCCCCGAGTCCACTCTCACGAAAAAGGGCCTGAGTCGCTGCTTAAACAGGGTTTTCCAGCATCCATGGGTGCGTGGACCGTGCGGAATACCACTGTTTTGCACCAATTGGAAAATGGCTTATACGGACCAATCAGGCAAGCCGAGGATAACCAATCCCACAATCCCAACACGAGTTTTCATGGTCGCGTGAATCCTACGTCGCAACAAAACTGTAACAGCTTCTTGAAAGAAGCACATTTTTTTAAAAACAGCCTTGACGCGCAAACAAGTGCTCAAATTTTCGTCCCCGATTGCCCCGGAGGACCCAAGTGGCGGCTCACTCGTTTAAGGTGGGGGTGGTAGTGGTTAGAAAAGGAGAAATGCGCCTAAATTTCTGCAGCCTGGTCGGGAGCACGGCGCAGTGCCTGGTTTGGGGCGCACAGTGACCGACCGGATGCAGCTTTTTCTCCTCAGACTCTCATTCTTCCTCGAGGCTCGCTCCTCGAGAAAAGTCGTTAAATAGCACCTCTAACAAGAGCATCTGGCAAAGAAAGAATTCTAGCTGTAGCTCAAAAAGACAAAAAAAAAAGCTTTCCGCAAGACATTGCCTTCGCGACACTATTATGATTCTCTAGCTTAATTCAGGATAAATTGAGGCTACCTTGGGTTTTGTACCTAAATCTCAGTACACGGGCGTTTCTGCGCTTCCTCGTGATTTAGATTGAGATCTGAACCATGCGCTAACAACAAGTCATAGCCCAGAGTGAGAAGTAGTAGTAGTAGTAGTAGTAGTAGTAGTAGTAGTAGTAGTAGTAGTAGTAGTAGTAGTAGTAGTATACTAGGAGTTACGGTAAGTAGCAGCAGTTGCCGGAGCATTCGTTCGAATGGTTATCATCACCAGCAGCCCCACTACCATCATAATCGAACGTTAGCTGAAATTGAGCCGTCATGGCTGTTTGTGAAACATACTCGTCCCGCATCCAAGAGATATCTGCATCATATCAAGCCCATAATAACTGTTAAGGTTTAACGTCTTACCACCATCGTATTGATATGAGAGATGAGGGTTCCAGAGATATGGAACATCTGAGGTTCTTTACCGTGCACATAAATCTAAGTACATAAGCCTCGGACATTTTGGCCTCAATCGAACATGCGACTGGCCCTTCTGAAATTCGATCCAGCGATCTGTGGGTCAGCAGTCGAACACGATAGCTACTAGATCAACGCGATGGGTGTCAAACCAAGTCTAGCAACACTCGAGTAGGCTTGATTCTAGCGAACTTCCAGTATACGCAAGACGCAATGTACGGAAACGATCAAAAATGAAACACTGCGAAATAGAGAAGCAAACGATGAAAAAAATACGGCTGCTACGTGGGTGTAAATGTGGGTAAATCATACGAAATTGATATTGATATGTGGGGTTTAACGTCCCAAAACCACTCTATGATTATGAGAGACGCCGTAGTGGAGGGCTCCGGAAATTTAGACCACCTGGGGTTCTTTAACGTGCACCCAAATCTGAGCACACGGGCCTACAACATTTCCGCCTCCATCGGAAATGCAGCCGCCGCAGCCGGGATTCGAACCCGCGCCCTGCGGGTCAGCAGCCGAGTACCTTAGCCACTAGACCACCGCGGCGGGGCCTAAATTGATATTCAGAGATAGAGATAGGTAAATAAAGGAAAGGGAGGAATTTTTTTATTTGTAAGGAAAAAAACGCAGTAAATAAACTCTTAACTTGGTCTATAGAAAAGCTTTTGTTACATGTTTTGTGAAGTCAAACTGTAACAGAGTTACTACTGCAACAAGGCCACGAAGAAAATGTACACTACTTATGCCTGGTATTTTCTTCGCAGCACATAATTGTGCACATTCTTGGAGCATGGGTCACTGCGTAGTGTCATGACTCATGCATCCCCTTAAAATCAATCAGTCAGCTAAGTATTTAATATTAATTAATCAGTTATATCTGACCACTAAAAAATAATATTGATAATAATGATAAACGTTGATTTTTGTTTAGATTTCAACGCCGAAGTTGGCGGTTTCAGTATGAAGGCAACAAGAAAAAACAACCGAGAAGCCCAGGGCACTGAACGCAGTATAAAGCTTGTCATGTCGGCGACCTGTGAGGGCCACTGCAACTGCGTATAGAAAACCCGGCGAGCCGCTTCACAGTCTGTCTTCTGTCGGCGTACGGGCCTCGCACAATGGCCATCGGTCAACAGAAAAGTGGGCAGTACGTTTGCCATGCCGCCAGGACCGAGTATTTGCTCCGACGTCCCACGCAGCGGGCAGGCATCGTCCGGTGGCTGTCACAAAAGCCGCCGAGTCAATATCGCATCCCCGGTGTCCGGCTGGCCCAAGTTCCTCCTCCTTTCAACTATCCGCTCATGGGCGGCCACGGCTGGTTTGATTGAAAACTTGGTGCGGCTTCTCAGAAGCGGCGGAAGAGAAAGAGATCGGCGCACGTCGCGGCAGTTCCACACGCGCACACGGTGATCATCGGGCCGAGATGTGACCCAGTTTGCAAACAAGCGAGAAAGTTGTGGCCGCAGGTCACTCAACTATAACTTATTTACCCCCAGATTCACCTCGACGGCTGATGACCAGGCTGAGCCGTGCCCATTTCGCACACACCGAGGTGTTTTCGCGAAGCTTTGCAGCTCGAAAAGTGTAAACAAGGAAGGCTTGATGAAAAAACGATTTCTTTACCGACGCCACTGACAACTATACCACCGTTCCAGAAAGTGCGTGAGTTTCCCTTCCTTGTGCCACCAGAATTCTGGAAGCAATAATGAAGCTTTGTGGGAGTGCATGCAGTGACAAAGAATCCGATTGTGGCGAAAGATTACCGAATCTTGCTTGAGCGGCAGGCTTCAATTGATGTTTGAAATGCGAAGGGCACAATAAAAGGACAAGCACAAAAAACTACCCTAACGAAGAAATTTGAACTTGACGGCTGGTATTGGGGAAGCTTCCGACAAAACAGAGGGACGTTATGAGTGGAGTTTCTTGATGGGTAAAAAAATGCATCCATCCCCACAACAATCATGCCATTTAATAATAATAATAATAATAATAATAATAATAATAATAATAATAATAATAATAATAATAATAAAATATTATCACTTTAAAAAGCTGTGAGCGGGAAGAGGAAAATTGACATTTATTAACGCAAAGGTATACATGCGTGCGACAGAAGTGCAAGCCATTCTGAGGCTGTACCATTTTATTCTAGAATCCGGATACACGATGGATTTTCGAGGACGTACAGAAAGCTCACTGAAGCACCTGTTGCAGAATATTTTCTTGGAGCGGGCCAGACTATCGAAGAGGACGAAGCGGGAACAGGCACGCTCTAGAAAAGGACCGCTTGAGCTCCATGACGAATGAATGGGTCGTCACCGATTAACGCCCCGCAGGTCGCGGGTTCGAATCCTGGCTGCGGCGGCTGCATTTCCGATGAAGGCGGAAATGTTGTAGGCCCGTGTGCTCAGATTTGTGTGCACGTTAAAGAACCCCAGGTGCTCGAAATTTCCGGAGCCCTCCACTACGGCGTCTCTCATAATCATATGGTGGTTTTGGGACGTAAAACCCCACATATCAATCAATCAATCAATCAACCGATTAACGCCAGCGGACCAGATATTTTGTCACATTTGGTGCACGAAACCCGAAATACACCCCTTCGGAGACTTCCCTGAATGTCACGACCATGGCAACCACTGACCATTTTCGGAAGAAGCGCGGCTCGACCAGAACTGGTGTCACCCGAGAACTGTTATCGGACCTTCTGCAGCAACCAGATTCTGATGCCTCCCAGATTAACAGCCACATGGATTTCCTGAAAGATAAAGAAGCAGCACTTTCAAGGCTCGACGACGTCATTCTGGTGGCAACGAACAAAGAAGACATGAACCACGAAGTGGAAGCAGCAAGCAAGTACAACGAAAAGATTCTCTACGCCGTGTCACGAGCCACGTTCAGGCTACAAGAACTTGAGAAGGCAACCAGAGCGCAGGAACGAGCCACAGGATCCGGGCCAAACAACTACGAACTTCCGCACTTCGGCAATGCAGCAGGACATGTGAGAGCGCACCGTCCGCTTGCGGTTCAACTGCCCCAGCTCCGGATGCCAACTTTTCATGGAAGTCTCCGTGGATGGCTATCCTATTGGGACCATTTCATTGCTACCATCCGCAAGAATACCGAGCTGTCACGCATTGAAAAATTCAAGTACCTCCTAACCTACTTAATTGGGAGCGCGGAACGAGCTCTTGAAGGCATCCACCTACCAGAGCAGAATTACAACCTTGCAGTCAAGACCCTCACGGATCGCTTTGAACGCCAGGATCTGCTTGTGAACGAGAATGTTGGCCATCTGCTTGAGCTGAGCCCCATGAAAACCTCGTCACACATTCTAAGGCTTCGTCTGCTGCACGATAATCTGCAGTTCCATGTTAGTGCCTTGGAAGGCCTAGGAGTTGTGCCCGACCAGTACACTGTGCTCTTAAACTGTGTCCTGATGCGATGTCTGCCAGAGGATCTCGCCGTTATGTACGTGCAGAAACTAAAGGAATCGCACTGCGCCTCGAGCATCGCCCAAACGCCTGATGACCGAACGTGACTCACTGCGGATTTACTAACGTTTCTGCACATTCAAGTAGAAATACGGGAGGAGGGCTGGTTACAGCCTCGTCGTGCGTCGCAAGAGGAACCCAAGACCCACATATCCGAAGAAATGTATGGCACAGAAAATATACCATCAGCGTCCGCCCTAACGGGGTCAACCTTGCCTGTAAGATCAGCATGCCCACTCTGCCACAGGAAGGATCACATGATCGCTGCCTAGAACACCAACCTATCTACTGAAAAGAAGCGGGCAAGGCTACAGTACACTAATTGTTGCTTCCACTGCGGAACAAAAAACCACATCGTCAGAATGTGCAATAAATCGTTCAATCTTAGGTGTGGTACCTGTTAGCGACGCCACCTGACGATTGTGTACGAGTTATCCAGGCCTGCGGGACATTCGCGGCTAAAAGATGAGTCATCCTCGTCTCACGAAACTCCGTCAGGTATCATGCGAATCGTCACGACCACCCGAAACAGTCACATCGAATCTACTCCTGTATTATTGCAGACAGGCCGAATTTGGGAAGAGTTCGGAGACCGACGACTTCTTGTGCGATTACTGATGGATAGCGGCAGTCAGCGCTCATACATTCGTGCAGACCTGTCGAAAATTCTTGAGTGCTTCGTCACGGGAAAATAAGAGCTATCTCTCATCACGTTCGGCAAATCAAGGTTATCGATATGAATTTGCACAGAGCGTGTGAACATGCGACTGCAGAGCCAGTTCGACGACTCCGCAATAACCGTCGAAGCATTAACGATTCCGTAATTAGGCGCCGTCACAAGCCCACTGATCGACCCCAACATTTTGCACCGGCTCGACAAAAGGGGGTACAACGCAGCTGACAGCTTTCAACCAAACACGTGGCAACCGGACGAGATTAGTGTCATGATAGGATCCGACGCCTATTGAAAAGTCACCACCGCTAAAATCGACCACGTAATCGAAACGCTAACAACGATAGAGACAATGTTTGGCTGGATGGTACAGGGACCCTTGTCGTCTGACAGCAACCAGCGCCCGTCTACCGCACTGTTTGTCTTCAGCCACAATCATTCTGCAACGCACACGGGCATATCTTCGATGTGGCATTTTGTTGCCATCAGGAGAGATAAAGTGCCTTCATGAACCTCAAACAAGCACCATGATCTATCTGTATGGGAGCAAGGTATCTCCGAAGGAACAAAGTGCCATCAGCCTGACTACATGGTTGCTGGCGGCAGGAACTTGGAAGAGGCGGAGTCACTGAACAAGCACGTCGCTGCTCATCACTGCAGTGTGCGTCGACGTCACCAGTGCCAGCGTGTTCATTGTGACGCCATACTTGAACAACTCGTCTCAGACCGGCCAGCTTTTGGGTGACCGGCTCGACAGGCATCACGTCTTCGTAATTCTGCATGCCAAGCACGTCAGCCTAACGCACGTCAAGAACATCATCCGTCTCATCAGCATAGGTTCCGGAGATGGCAAGGGGTGCGACAGCCATGAATCAACGACCATTGTGCACAGGAACTCCCGGTAGCAAACAAGTGCATTTCAACACAAACTGTGCTCTCGGTGGGTACGATTCTCCTTGCCCTCCCCCCCCTGGGATGATGTTCAATAATAATCCGGATCGGAGCACGGAGCGACCTGGAGTGGTCCAGACTTCATCGATGCGTTCGAGTCATCTTGCCCCCCTGGGAGGACGTCGCTGAATATTCTCCTAAAGTTGGCCAGACTATCGAAGAGGACGAAGTGGAGACAGGCACGCTATAGAAAAGGACAGCTTGGGCTTCATGACGAATGAATGGGTCGTCCCTGATTAACGTCTGTGGAGCGGTTATTTTGTTACAGCACCTGTGTCGATAAGGGATGATACGTTGGAACCATTGACAACCATCGCAGCGAATAGGATGTTTGGGTTTACAGTGAAGACGACCTCTCCCTCCGATACATGTCCTTGAAAACAAATATGCGGCGGTTCTCCAAGTCAGGTGTCAGTCTCATAAAACTAAGGTAACGGCTGATCTGTCGCGCAATTATTCATGTACGGCAGGACACCTTCCCTAGAGAATGATGTTTAGTTTGTTTGTGGTGGTGCTTCTTTCAACCCGATTATATCGGTGGAGTCAGAAGGAATCTACTTCAACCCATGAAGAACCTCATCGAACGTTACAGGCGCCTTTATTTTCATTTGTGTTCGACTTCTCCTCTTCGTTTCCTGTACTATATTTAGGTGGCACGATGCATGGTCCTGGAAGTTTCAGATCAGGATCATACAACTATCGTTGTTTTGCGGAGAAATATTTGAGCAAGTTCTCACAGTTTTTCATATATGCTTGAATACATTGTCCGCAAACACTACTGCATTCTTTCCGAAGACATTAACAACGTTGTCCTTCCATGACTGCCATGAATCTTCTTTATGTTGGACAAAATGCTAGTAAAACCATTCCTTGGCATATACAGAAAGACATGCTGACATATTTCGTATTTTGTGGCAGTCCGCGTACTAATGATTATGTTCGCATGCACACTCAAATGCGTTCAACCAATTATAAGCACAAAAACTGCCATCAGAGTGTCCGGGTTTCCTATCATGTGAAGTGTCCTGTCTGATGCCAGAACCGTAAAGAGTGGTTGATTTGATTGATATGTGGGGTTTAACGTCCCAAAACCACTATATGATTATGAGAGACGCCGTAGTGGAGGGCTCCGGAAATTTAGACCACCTGGGGTTCTTTAACGTGCACCCAAATCTAAGCACACGGGCCTACAACATTTCTGCCTCCATCGGAAATGCAGCCGCCGCAGCCGGGATTCGAACCCGCGCCCTGCGGGTCAGCAGCCGAGTACCTTAGCCCCTAGACCACCGCGGCGGGGCCCGTAAAGAGTGGTTGTTGTGGCTACTGTAGTTGCTGCTTTTGCAACCACTTGAACTGAGAAAGCACGTTTCAGCAGCTTGACGTACTTGTATTTACACCAGAATGACTTGAAAGTTGCTCCTTATTGATGTTTTGCATTTTCAAGGCTTAGAAATTCGAAAAGGTACATTAAATTTTACAATACCCCAGGCGATGGCGTCGATAATTGGCTTTTTGCCTATGGTGGCGATGAGTTTGGTTCGACCAGCTGTTGTCATCTCTTCTGACGCCGCGACAAAATTCTCGCCATTTGACTCATAGCCTGCAATCTGTAACTGGCCGTATACCGCTGTGTGATGTAGAAGGTCACCCACATTTTGCGAATCTGTAAGAGGCTACGCCAAATATAATGCAGTTTGTTTTCAGCCGTGCTTGCTTGCTTGCTTGCACCTCTGCATGTGGTTGATATACGAGAAAAAGTTTAACATTAGATGAAGTAAAATGAAGTAATAAGCTCTCTAAGGTTTATATAACATTATATAGGTATGTAATCATAGTATACAATACAACACAATTAGTCAGAAGAAGTAATAAATTTTGATTTTGAGTAACTTCACAGATATGTTCTTTTTGTGCCTCTTAGAATAAACTCGCAGATGGCAATGCAGACGTTCCTGTTTTTATGGCCCCGAAGAGAAGCCACAAGTAAAATAATATTTTACGAAGCGATCCTTAAATTCCCGATTAAAAATTTGAAATGCTTTTTTTATATGGTTGGTGAAAGGACGGCAAGGAAGTAAAAATTGATTGATGTTTTCATGCTCATTCTTATGCCAAAGAAGACTGCACCTAAACATACCTGTATAAGCCGTTTTGTTTATTATCTTCCTGGTTTCTTCTACTTCTTTTTCTAGGCTCTTCTTTTCCGCTTTCTCCGACCAAATTTCTTTATTATTTGCAGTACACAACAAAAGCAATAACAATCCTTATTTTCATCTTCACTAGTATACATCACAAATAACAGGCCGGTCAAAGACAAAAGTGGGCTTGTAGTAGTAGGCCGGAAACATCGACAAAAGAGAGACGGGACCCAGCGATGTACATTAAAGAGTTTGTTTCGTATAATAATAATAGAAAAACATACAAGTACGTACCTTATTGACACCACATTTACGCAATAACATGGAAGAATTGAACCGATGGTAGCAAGACAATTAATTTAATGGTAGAATATCAAGCCAAAAAGACAGTTATTCTAAACAGTTTTATATCCTGTTTCAAAGAAAATATAAAAAACAGGACAACTGATGCAGCATTAAAGTGACCTTCGGATATCGTGTTAATTACGCTTTGTTGTTGCAGAACAAAAACCTTGCCATAAAGTTCATTAAAAATAATGGGGACGAAGACCTTTCTAATAGATTTGCTATATCTTGTTTAGGCAAATGGTACAGGAAAGTTAGAAGTTTTTCTCAATACAAGAGAGGCTATGAAGTGTAGAAACGTGGGCAAGCTGGTGAGAAATAACTGAATATAAAAACAGCGCAACAAAAAAAGACCGACGAAGATAACACGCACATCCCCGACAAAGATTTAATAGCGAAGCGATGTACATACATACGAGAGAAGTGTCGGCTTGCGTATAAGGGTGCAGTAATAATGACAGCGATAACAATACCACCATAAACTCTCGTCACTTCTTCATTAAAGAGGAAGCTAATACACAACCTCAATTTTGTAAGTAGCGCTATTGAAGGAAAACCTACACATGCCCTGTCAAACTTTGTATGTGATGAGCCTCAATAATCTCACGCGTAGCCTGCGAGCGATGTTTTCTTATCACTTTGCAATGCTCAAAGAGGGGCACGCCACCGCAGTCGCGACAGTGAATTCCAATGTGTCCTTAATCTGCGTTGTGCACATTGTTGTGATTCTCTCCTAACTGATTGTTTAAAGACGTTACTGTTTTTATGCATATGTTTTCACAAGATAACCGAAGAAAATACAAGGTTGATACAAATGTTAGCGAAAGCTCCACAGAAGCTGATACGTTCAGAAAAAAAAAAAACGGCTGATGCGCTGCTCATGGCATTTAGCGTCATATCTGCGAGGAGGGAACACTTCCGGCAGAACAAAGAAATAAAG